GGTTATCTTTACTACATTCTTAATTTTCTAAATTTGTATGGGGTGGTAAAAAAGCAAGGGTTCAAATGAAAAACCTGGCTAGGTCAAGGCAAGATGAAGGACTGGGGTGCCCAGAAATGTTCCAATGTTACCTGGCTAGCAGACTTTTCCACATATTGCTATCCCAAAATCACGCGACAACTATAGAAACTTGGCATAAAATGGGAAAAAAAAACAGGGTTAGGCAACTTATCCTCACTATTTTGGGTTTTAGACTTGAATTAAAAATCTATTGAAGAGGTATGGAGAAAATCACAGATACTCAAAGAATTAACGAGTTGGTGGGATAAACACACAATCGATATAGGTCTTAGAAATAAAATAATAGAGGTGTTTCCATTCTCTATCATTTCAGACATGCTGGAAAATCTAAAAATAGACACCTGGAAAATCTGGAAAATCGGGGGGATTAGGGAATTCAAAAATATATTAGTGGAGAATAAAATTAGGCCCTTCAATCAAATTATGGAGGAAATCAACATATCCAGGAGAGAAACTTTTAATTATCTGAGAATCAAAAGCTTTATTTCAAAATATCTACTTAAAAATAAGGAGGAGAAAAATATAAAACTCAGACACCGTCTGGAACTAAAGGTTTATAAAAACCTTTTGGCAAAGTGCGCCAAAGTTATATACGGATGGAGACATGATAAACCAATAGGTTTGATAAATAAATGGGAAAAAGAACTACAAGTACGTATAGAAGAAGAAGAGTTGATAAGCTTCCTAAATAAAGTATATAAACATATACATTGCCTAAACCTCACGGAAACACAATTTAAACTTTCTAATAGATGGTATCTAACACCAAAATGCTTAAATAAAATTTTCCCAGAGGCATCAGATAGGTGTTGGAAATGCAATGTCAATGAAGATAATTTGATTCACAGTTGGTTTCAATGCACACCTATAAGTCAATATTGGAAGGATGTAATCAAAGTAATATATAAAATAACTGAAATGAAACTAGGATTCAAGCCTGAAGTGGTCTTATTAAATCTAAATTGGCCCAAAATGCCAAAAAAAGGACAAATAGTAACATTACATATCATCACGGCACGTAATTGAAAAACAGTGAGAATCCCACACACCCAAGAATTAATAGTCATATGGCAAGCAAAAATGGAAAGGGGTATATTGACGAACCTAGGAAATAGATACACTTTAATAGAAGATTGGGACACATGGATAAACAAATTGGAAGATATAATTAAACAACTACCACACCGGTGTAAAAGTTCCTTTGGCCGGAAGGATAGATTTATTACCAAGAACCTATAACAAGAAGCAAACTAGCGTAGGGGGGTTAGGGGCGGGAAGGATTAGAGTTTAATTAAGTTATCCCCGCTGCTACCTCCACCTCTTTTACTTATAAATCTATTAAATAAGGAGGGAACATATTAAATAAAGAGATGAGAACTAGGGCTGGAGGAGAAAGAGTAAGGGAAAAGATATTTATGTTGACAAGAGTACCAAGGCTGGAAACAAGAAGTACCAGATAAAACATATAAGCCAGGTACACGTCTGAAATATTTAGAAAAAAAAAACAAAAACACTGGACGACACACAGTTCTGGGAGTACAACTAAATTTATTCTGGCCACACATGGCTTTTATGCACTGGTCCCTCCATGGGGTCTCTGACCCCAAAATACAGGCCTTTTTCTCCCAAGATCCTCTGTGCCTGAGATAATTGCGTGAGAAGAACTATAACTCAATTATCTCTCAGGTACAGAAAAATCTACAATATTTAAAAACATCAAAAAATACATTTTAATAAACACAAAAGTCATATCACCGAATAGCTTGGATCTGAGCGCACATTTTGCCAAAATATTACTCAGATCCCTTCGGTGGAACGCCATTTGAATGAAGTTTTGACCAGTTGGCCATGAGGTGATGCCTAAAACAGTTCCACAGAAAACAAGGTAATAATATTTTGGGGGTTCTCACACAAACACAGATGAATCTATCCCCTGTCTGATAGTATAGGAATGCTCCCCCTGTTCGGTAGTTTATGTCTCCCGAACGCCGTTCTTCTAACTGTTCGGGAAGTTGCATGGGCAGCGGTACAAGATTCCCTGGCATTAGTGGAGTCGCGTATCCAAAATTAGTTCCACGCCATCGACGACCATGCCGCTGCCCTCGTTTGGGAGACAAAATGGGAGAGCACTTGAACTAATAACCAATTTGTGGTACTCAGTGATTATAAAGGTGTGGACAAGGGGCCACACAACGAGGGGATTCAGTAAACGAACGGGGCATACGGTTAGCCGAACAAAAATGGGAATAAAAGTATATCGGAGTTCTCCATTCTGCTACAGTTACTATGTTTCCCGACCAATGCACCAGGAATGTTGCAAGAATGCAAGGCCAAGAAGCATATAAGAGACTGGACACAGGTTCTCAGGAAGTAAACAACAGTTTATTTTTGTAGCTGGCTACCTGTGTCATCAGCACAGACTCATGTCTGCAAAAAGGGCTGAGAGACCCCCTCTCGTGTTAACAGTGTTTATATATGATCGATGAAGCAGCTAATACACAATAGAGATATGCAAGGGTTACTACCATACTGCTGCAATTAATAACCAATTAGCAAGCGTTTAACTATTACTTTATTCATTTCCTACTTTACTGCGTATTAACATTCTTAGCATTCCTGTACATGTGCCCTGGCCCTGATCATGTACAGCTCTTGTTCCATTTATGGGCATATGGCTCTGAGGCATTTCCGAGATTTTCTACTACACCAGTATCAGCCTTCCTAATATAGAGCACACACTCATATATATTGTGCCATTCACAAAATACTTTACCCCTACTAACTGCCCAAGGTGCAATAAATCTATATATAGCTATATATATTTAATATACATTAGTTTCTTCATAAAGGAACACTTAAAGCATTTTACCTTTGTGAAATTGTTTTTTTTGTTTTACAAAAAGTGAAGATTTCTATAGAAATTTGTACTTTTAATAACCTGGCTACACCCCCCTTGCTTTCAAGCAGACAAGTCCTGTTACTTCCTGGTTTGTTTAGTTTGGTGGAGCTAAACTCAAGAGGCAGCCACTTGGCCAGAGAATCTGACTTTTCAATGAACTGCACTGGGAAGTCTGTGATTGGACAGCCACAGAAAGCATGAGCTAGGAATTAAGGGGAAAGCTTGCAAAGAGACCTGCATCTTTTGTATGCTGTTAGAGATACTCCAAATGAAAAAAAATACATCTACTAAACATATATATGTTTTTGTATTTGGATAGTGGAGTGTCCCTTTAAATCCTCTTTTCTTCAGCCTCAAATGGCCAAAAAAAACCTCAATAATTCCCGATGGTACTATTGGGGGGGAGGGGAAAGGACCTGATTCGCAAAAACCTGACAAAAAATAAAAACATAGCTCAGCAAAAATAAATCCATCTAAACCCTGCAACTGCATGGTGCAGAAAGAGGTTTAAATGTGATAAAAGCCTTTATAAAGACTTTCCTATCATTCAAAATATCAGTTGTCAGACAACCAGAGCGTTCTGACAGTCAAGTAGTCTCACTTCTCTCTAGACTTGATTCTGTACTTGCTTTGGGCATTTTCTGAATCATATCTTTTGCACATGGTTTAGAATGATGTGAAAAGCACTAATATTCAACCAGACACCGAATGCAACTGGCCGATTGCTGCAAATTCAGTCTGGGTGACTGAATTCTGACTGGAATAATCTTTAGTAAATATGAGAATTGCCATTCTGGTCGGAATTCAGCTACTTTCACCAGGTTTTGTCAGTTAATTACGTGTATATATGCGTGTATCAGAATGTGTATGTATATGTGTGTATATATTAATTTTTGGAGTAGGTAGGGGCATACTTCATAAATTCTGTGCCTACAGCTGCATTATAGGTTTACTCTTAGCACCACGGCCACTTTAGTGATTTAAAGTGCTTATGGTGCTTGGAGTCTGTATTTGCAGTATTTCAGTTTAAACACAGCACATCAAATGTAAAGCCCTTTGCTAACAGAGATGCAACTCCTCCAGCATCATTAGCCTGTCTGTAATCAGAGTTTCTGGTCTGACTAATGTCAATTCTTTATGTTTTTGGTATTTGTCATCATTATGCGTAGCATACATAGGACACTATAGGCACCCAGAACACCTTATCTCAATAAAGTGAGATTTTTAACCTTCCAGTGTAAAACAATGCCATTCTGCAGGAATTGCAATGTTTACATTACAGGGTTTAATTGCCCTTTAGTGGTTATCATACTGAAAGCCACTAGAAGTGCTTCCTCAGAAATAACAGAGTAAAACTCCTCTATTTCATAGACATTATCTGATTGACAAAGTGCATGCATGCAGCATTTTACTGTGCATGCGCAGTTTCCTCACAGTGCTTTCCTAAGGGAAAGCATTTGATTGGCTGAAATTATCAAGCGTATAATATAATTATAAGAGTATCTCACCCAAGGAGATGGTGCCAGCCACGAAGAAAGCGCTCTAACTCCTTCGGGGAGGAGGGGGCAGATGGTCACGTAAACAGTGACTAAGACACTATAGCTTGTATTTCTATATTTATAGTGTTTCTTTAAAGAACAGAGGAAAAGTAACAAAAATGTGAATTTATTATAAATTATTATAATTAAATATTTAGGTTGTGTTAATCTGACTGATGAGGTTGATGACAAGAAGTTACACTTATCACTGTTACCTGAATTCAGTCCTTTAGTTGCAGAATTAATTCAAACCAACCAAAAAAAACCCAAAATGTAATACATTCAGAAATGTGCCTTCATTTGCATTACTTTTCACTTAAAACATGTTAACATCAAATACGAGATAGAGATATAACTGGTAATTGAATTGCGTTTTATCTGTATATGGAGATTTCTTTATTTATTTTGTATTATTCTTTACATGTTTACAGACAGGTCACCCAGCGCCCATTGCACTGTGTTCACATTGTTCCAGTAAACCCCAAATAGTATCACACAACGCCAACTCACAGATTTGTCCCTCGGCGCTGTCCGTAATACGCGCTTTGTCTGCGACACACGGCATTCAGGTCGCATTCTATCCGCGTGCTCCTGACCTCCAGGCTGCGTGTGAGTAACCCCGAGCTTCCCTGAGTCCACAGCCGCAATGTTCCGACTGGAGGGACTGGGCCCCAAAGCTGACCCGGAGGAGCTGAGGAAGAAGATGAGGCAGGACGTGCTGATCTCGGTGCGGAATTTCCTGATTTATGTGGCCGTGCTGAGAATCAGTGAGTAACACCGGGCGGGGTGAAATATTCAATGTATTTATTCTGTTTGTCACAGACAGAGCTGGAGCTAAGCTACCAGTGTAATGCTGAGTTAGTACATTATTATTATTATTACACAGTTACTATACCTTTTATTCAAGCAGATTCCTATTTCTTGATAAAATTGAAGCAAAGAGCAGAAACTGGGCCACCATAAGAATTATTTGGGCTTCTTACAACCACACTTTCCAGAGATGCACACTTACTACAGATATATATACACACCCAGATACTCAATGATAAAAATACACTCTGCTAAAGATACATGATTATTATTATGATATTTATATAGCGCCATCAAATTCCGCAGCGCTTTACAATGGGTGAACGAACAGACATGTAGTTGTAACCAGACAAGTTGGACACACAGGAACAGATGGGTTGAGGGCCCTGCTCAATGAGCTTACATGCTAGAGGGAGTGGGGTAAAATGACACAAAAAGGTAAGGATAGTATTAGACTAGTGACAGTCACACTACTCCGCACAGACATTGAAATTGAGGTTTTGCTTGGGGACTATTTCATGGCTGTTTTGTAGTGGATGGTGGCTTCCCTGGAAGATCTGGCAGTGGCAACAGCACTGTCTTAGAACCAGGAAAGTGTCATCTCTAAGTGCCCATGGGCAAAACATCTAACTATATCCGCATACCTCAACTCCTCATACATTGAAAGCCTTTTGAGCAGGGCCTTTTCACCTCTGAATATTCCCTATCTATAATTGTAAAGCACAGCCGAATATGTTGGCACTATATAAATGGTAATTATAATTAAAGGTACACGGTAGTCACCAGAACAACTACAACTTAATGTAGTTGGTCTGGTGTCTACAGTCTGTCCCTGCAGGCTTTTAAATGTAAGCGCTGCCTTTTCATGAGTGCTTTGAGAATGGACAAAAGCTTAGAGAAACTCAATAGCCTGCCCTTCAGTAAATCCCTGCTCAGGTCTCAAAATAGTTTTTGCTCATGTGTGTCATTACAGAGTGTACCTATACCATTGTACATCAGACTGATCCCACTTAGAAGGGCAGTCCAGAACCGAAATTCAGGAAAGTTTTCGCTGCAAAACATGAGCTAAAACCAGCTTGAGATCTGAGTGGGGGACCCACCAAAGGGCAAGCTTATTGAGTTGCGGCCCGTTCTCAGTATTTTTTTGCACCTTGTTTTCCCCAAAGTTTAAAATCCAGATGTGAAATTCCTTGCTCACGGTACCAAGAGCTGCATCAGTATACCTCACTGGCGAGTCCTAAGAATGAAATGATTGTCTGGGGTTGATGTATCCTGCATTTCGGATCTGGGCCGCTCTTTTCGGTGTGATCAGTCTGTGTTGTTTGTAATGGCACAAGATGAGCTAAAACTATATCTCAGAGGGGACCCACCGAAGGGCAAGCAAATCAAACTGTTGTCTGTTCTCCGTATTCTTACACATGAAAAGTGCCTCTAGTGGCTGCCAAGAAGACAGCCAAAAAAGGTGTGTTTAATCCCAAAATGGAAACATTGCCGTTTCTACAAAACTGCATAAGCTACTCTGTATTTGTTAAAACAAACACAACACTGGAATACATTAATTTTACATAATTGACTATTATAGAAAAAAAAATACAATAAATATGCACATGTTTATCAGGTGCCTTATGATGTATGTTTCAAAATGTTAATTATATGTCTTTCAAGGAACACTATAGCGTTATGCAAAACCTATATATAACATGTATTTCAAACACTATAGTGTTATGAAAACTGAGAAAATAAAGTGTATGTTGTGCTACTTACATAGAAACATACTTGCCTCTCTGTTTTCCAAAAAGTAATCAAGGAGACATTGCCTCCTCCCGGCAGTGCGGACCTGTTGCGCATACATGGCGAGTGCTGTGCACTCATCTAATGGTTGTTATAGGAAAGCATTGAATGCAGTGCTTTCCTATGAGCTGCTATGTCATGCAGTGGAAGCGCCTCTAGTGACTGTCCAGAAGACCACCACCAGCCACCAGAGGTATGTTTAATCCTGCAATGTAATTCATTGTGTACATTTTTTTACATTGCAAGGTTAAATTGATCAGATATTTAATTGAGAAAAAGTGGTCTGGGAGACTTGAGTCATCCTTTAAGTCAGTGGTTCCCAAACCGGTCCTCATGGCCCACCAACAGTCCAGGATTTATGTATTTCCCTGTTTTATTCCAATGGAGATACTAACAAAACCTGGACTGTTGGTGGGTCTTGAGGACTGGTTTAAGAAACGCTGCTTTAAGTAGAGAACATCATTATAATTCTGTGTTTAATCATGCAATGCACAACCATTTTAGTGTTTTTCAGTGGTTTTGAAAAGTTCCCTTCACGGGTGAAAAGACACCTCATTATACTTAAAATAAATAAATGAGTGCATCCTTTCCTTTTAGTCATCCCCTTGCTTTTTGTGGCAATATGTATGCAAGTTGATGTAATATGGCTTTCGTGAACTATAAGTGTGCCAGTGTTGGGAGCATGGAGTTGGCAACTGCATGGTGGGGCAAATAATACCTGAGACACAGGATGCCTGAAAGTCATTGGGTAGAGATTTTGCAAGGGGTGACAGGCACAAAGGCTGCTAAAACAAAGGGTTGCTGACCGACTTAAGAGAGCCTATAAACACCAGGATGAAGAATGTGGCAGACACAGGTAAGGTCGAGACAGTACTAGGCTATACATAGCAATAAATTACCTTTTAAGATACTCTGCACGTGAGGTATGTAAATTATGGCTAGATATATTTGTATATACTTTTATTATGTGTAATTTACTTTTTAAAATGTGTTCATTTACAGCTCCGTTTGTCTTAAAGAAACTTGACAGTATATGAGAAGATGGAGCTATTTCACGGGGAATGCTATCTATACCTTTTAACAACATGAAAATGGGAGCAGCAAAAATGGAAGTGTCTGAGCAGCAACAGCAAAGAAAAAAAAAACAGACAGAAGAACTGGGTTCTGATATCATGTTCTAAAATGAAAAGACTTCTAGTTACACAAAGACTTGTTTAGCATATTGCATAATGTTTTGTGGATTATTTTTTCCTTTAATTTCAATATCATTTTTTAATTGTGATTTATTTTGTTTTGTTTAATATACCAATAACATCACAAATCTTTGTTTTATGAAGCTACCTCTAATTTCTGACATTGCTACCAAGATGGTATGTTGAAATAAGAGATTGTTTGTTTAACTTGATTTAAAAAGAAAAAATGGTTCACCAGTTTTGGTCTTGTTTTATCATGTAGATGGTGTTTAAATGATCCCTTTTATGTTTTTGATATTAGATGGCTATATGAAAATACTCTTGCAAGCACTGGCAGGCTCACACGTGTCTCTAAAACTCTCAGGAAACACAAGGGAGGGTTTAAAATTAATACCAAAAACATAATCTTTCAAACTAGCAGAGTTATTCACTAAAGCTACAATTGTCATGAATTCAAGGTGAAATTGTAATTCACGGGCAAAATAGTCAAACTTGATATGGGGATGCGCACTGTGTTTTCAAGAATCTACATATCAACCTTGAAGTCGCGCAGTCATTTTTTTTTTTTTTTTTGTGTGTCTTGTTTACTTTTTCAATAATTATATCCCTCCCATTTCCCTGTTTCTTTATTTAAGATTTATTATCTTGTCTTCTTTCTACCAAATTTCAAAAACTCAGTGCCTCTGTTTTTCTTCTCTATCCATGTATTCTACAGTGTAATCCTCTGTTTACTGATGAATTAAGAGGTAAATTCCCTTGGCAACTTAAATGAAACTTTGCTTAAGCTCTGCCCATTGCCAAAGATCACACACTGCATAAGAAAAAGTAAACTTAGAAAAAACAAAGATGAATTTAGAACAAAAACTAAAAATATGGAGGAAGAGAAGAACAAAAACCTGCAAATTGACGGTGAATCTTTCAGATGAGACAGTGTAAACCAAGCATGTCAAACTCAAAGTTTATATGGGCCGCACAAAAAAAAAAAACGGTTTAAATTTTCATAGAAATGTATGTTTATTTTTATACCGTACTCCCCTCTACTAAATCCCTGTCCTCCCCTGTACTAAATTCCATTCCTTCCCCCCTCTACTAAATCCCAGCACCCCCCTCTAGCTAACAAGCAGACTCCACTTACATTTCCGCTGCCAGTATGCGACGCCGGAGTCCGGCCTCTGGTATTCCACAAAAGGCACCGTCTGCACCCTGTGCCAAAGTGGATGCTCCCGCTACTTCTTGAAACCCTGTGAAGGTGGAGCACGCCGGCTTCACGTCGGAATGTGGCGTGCCTCCGTGCACTTCCAGGTACTTCACCGTCCAGCTGCGGCCATCAAAACACTGACAGAGACACACTCACATGATTCCCTGGGGTCCAGTGGGATCTTCTAGTTGGAGCTCAGTGTTCCTGCTCCCTCGCGCGCAGTTTAGTGGTGCCGGAATATGGCATCATATTCCGGCAAGACTACAGATGACGCGAGGGAGCAGGAACACTGAACTCCCTCGCTGCCATCCGTGTCCTGCTTCCTCTCCTCTGGCCGGGTACATGGCAATGTGGGGCAAGCAGGTGCCTACTCTGCATTTACAATAGGCGTGCCGGGCTGCGAGTTTGACATGCTTGGTGTAAACTGTGCCATACTATCTGGATGAATTGTTAGGTGTAAGCAATTTGCAACCTCCATCACTAGCTATGAACAGAATGGGCAGGCCTCCTGCCAAAAGTAAAAATGTTACAGTATAAACCAGAATCTTACTGGTCAACATTTACTAGTTCAGCAGGGGCAAGATACATCTAGCACTTAAATCAATGAGACATATTTACAACCACATTTATTTTATTTTTTTTTAAAATCCGGAATCTAGAAAATGAAATTGCTTTAGAATCAGGCACCAGGAGTTGATTCTGTACGACCCAGTCAGGGGTAGTCGCTTCCAGGGCGAGCAACCTTGCACACAGAAATAAAAATATTTCTCTTGAGAATTAAAAATGCTGCAGGCACAGGTTATTTGTACCATAACCTTTTCGGTGAGATTAAGTGGTTATGGTGCTTATCATTTTAATAAAGTTGTTTTGGTTCACAGACCATATCACTTTTATTTAATGGACAATATAATAGGTAGTGTCTGGAGGAACCAGGGAATCAGATGGTATGGAGGAGTGGCTATGGGTATATCCGGCAAGTAGTCTCAACTTTCAGGTAGACATGTCAAGACATATAATCACATAAGCATATAGACTTAAAGCAACCAAAGGTGGCATATAAACAAGTAGATAGTAATATAATATGCATAAAAAATTAATGTATAAACACATGATGTCACACCAACATCTCTGGAATATGCATGTCAATCTAGGCTATTAAGAGTTTCATAAACAAATTAATATAACATAAACAAACAAAACATAATTTTGGCCCAGCATCAGTATAATTGGTTTTGAAGGTTGGCGTCCCACAAATCACAGAATTTTATTTTTTTTGTTGCATGTCAAGAGCCCTGCTTGCACATACTTCTGGCTAGTGGAGTTGATTTCCAGTTTCTAGCAATCAGCGTATTTGCTGCTATCTGGATGAGACTATAACATTTTAACAATGTCTAGGTATGTGTTTAGGTAGTACAAAAAGAAGACACGATTCAACAGTAAATGGCAGATGTATCCCTGTTGCTCTAAATATAAATGTGTTGACTCCCAACCAGAATGTAGTTATCAATAGGCAATTTCACCACATGTAACATGGGACCCCTGCCTTACTGGCATCTCCAGCATATTGTGTTGTCAGTGCCAGCAATAGGAGTTAACTGTGCTGGAATCATATGCTATCTGCACGCTTTTTTTGTATATAGTTTCTGTGTGTGCACAGGATTAAGTCCTTTATGAATTTGAAACTCATCTATCTACAGCAAGCATGTCAAACTCAAAGTCTAGCATGGGCCACATAGACAAGTTTTAAGTTAATGTGGGCCGCAAAAAAAACCCTTAAATTTCCATAGAAACTTAGGTTTATTTTGAAAAGTACTGTATAAAAAAAACCCCATTATCCCCCTCTACTAAATCCCAATCACCCCCCATATACTAAATCCCAGCAGCTCCCTCTAGCCAACAAACAGACTCCACTCACATTGCCGCTGCCAGTGGGCAACTCCGGAGACCGGCCTCTGGTATACCCCAAATGGCACCGTCCACACCCTGTGCCAAATCCTATCCTCCCGCTACTTGATGAAACCCTGTGAAGGTGGAGAACGTAGATGTCATGTCGGAATGTGGTGTTGCATGCCTCCATGCACCTCCAGATACTCCACTGTCTAGTCACAGCCAATGCAACACTGACCAACACACACACTTACTGACAGATACACACTCACTGACACAAATACTCACAGACACACACACTCAGTGTTCCTGCTCCCTCGCACGCACGCACCATCTGTAGTGAAGCGGGGCGTCGGAATATGACGTCATATTCCGGCATCACTAAACTGCGCGAGGGAGCAGTGAGGAGCAGATAGAAGATCCCCACTGGACACCAGGCCAAAGGTAGGGAGCAATAAAGAAAATTATGTGTGTGCAAGAATGTGTAAATGTGTGTGTCTGTCAGTGAGTGTGTGTGTTGGTCACTCTTGCATTGGCTGCGACTGGACAGTGGAGTACCTGGAGGTGCATGGAGGCACGCAACGCCATGTCACATTCCAACGTGACATCGACGTGCTCCACCTTCACAGGGTTTTTTAGAAGTAGCGGGAGGATCAGATTTGGCAGATTTTGATTGCGGACGGCGCCATTTGGGGTTTACCAGAGGCCGGACTCCCGAGTCGCATACTGGCAGCAGCACTATGAGTGGAGTCTGCTTGCTGGCTAGAGGGGGGTACTGGGATTTAGAATATGGGGGAGGACTGGGATTCAGTAGAGGGGGGTGCTGTGGTTTAGTAGAGGGGGAGACTGGGATTTAGTAGAAGTGGGTGCTGTGGTTTAATAAAGGGGAATGCTAGGGTTTTTTTTTTATACTTTACTTTTCAAAACAAACCTACAATGAAAATTGAAGGTGTTTTTTTTTTTTTTGCGGCCCACATAAACCAGGTGCCAGGTCCCCCAGGTTTTAACCCTGGAGCTGTAAACGTAGCAGTTTCAGAGAAACTGGCTGTCTTCCTGTGTCCCCGAGGTTATTCCATAATTGCGGTGCTCCGTAGCAAAAGGAGGATCGAGCCACTTTATGTTTGTATTGCGGTATGCTAAATATCGTGCTAGCACTGGATCGGAAGTTATAGGAGGTGGGAACAGCCGGGGAGAGCATTCTACTCAGGTAGGGTGGGAGCTTCCCAGAAATGCTGTTATGCACAAGGCTGGAAAGATGAAGAGTATATATATATATATGTGTGTGTGTGTGTGTAATTTTATTCTAACTGTATTTTGATAGTAATATATATATATATATATATATATATATATATATATATATATATATATATATATATATATCAAAATACACTTAGAATGAAATTATATATATATCTATGTATATATAAATAAATAAAAATAATATGAAATACACATATGTCCATATACATGTAGACTTCAAATATGTATATATATTTAAATTCTACATGCATATTTATGTAATATTTTTACATAATTAAGTCATTTTATTGATTGCAATTTGGGGAACCTACCTGACAACCCAGGTGGAAAGTCCAGAGAATTTAATTTTCTAGCACTATATTTAACCCTGTGTCACAGCACACCCCAAACCCTGCAGACTGCAAGGTGTAACTGCCCTTTTAAGAGACCTGGCTGGGTTTGAACTCACAGTTCCAGCATCCCAATCAGGTTCTCTGCCATGATATCCACCAGGGGGCTTCAGTTTGCCTGGATTAAGCAGCACTGATCCACCTGCAGCCCTTTTCCAATTAGGGTCAGCTGCAGCGGAGGGCTGGCAGCGTTAGGCCTGGGGGGCAAAACCAGTCAAGTGGCCCATTGCACCACCAAATCAGTTCACCATCCATGCCCACCTTTTCCTGGTTTTATAACGGATATTGATGTTATGCTAATCAGTAGCTCTTTGCCATACCCGCTCCTTCACGGCTCCAGGCACTGCTTGTTGTGAGTGTGAGCCACTGTAAATTAGCCACTGCGGTAAAGATGGGGCTGGACAGGAGGAGAGTGCAGTGCAATCAGTGCACTCCCCTCCTGTGGGTCACCAATAGACTGGTGCACCTGCCCAGGATCAGTGCCGGTGCAAGGATTTTTGCCGCCCTAGACAAAATAAAAATTTGCTGCCCCCCCATGTGACATCACAATGCCCCACCCATATGAACTAACGCCAGTGCTGCACACAGTGTGTGTTTACATTAAAAGCCTGCAGGGACCAGCTATAGACACCAGAACCACTTCATTAAGCTATAGTGTCCCTTTAATGTGAGGTACATTATAGATTAGTGTCACTAATAATATACTAGATTGCCTACTTACAAGCAGATGAGGATGATGATGGGCTGCAGTTTGGCTCCACTGGTCTGGTGTAGAACAGGATCTCTGGAAGCTGTTTGCAGCTGTGGTCACAAAATTCAATGTTCTGGGAGAATTGGAAGCAGCTCCATTTTTTGGGG